AACTTGAAATCAAACAATGAACAAATTACAAAGTAAAGACAATTACGGAAGGTCAGTTTCCAACAATCGTACAATCACATACGAAATGATCATTTATTGAGCATGTACAGATACTTCTATGTACATGACGTATTTTGTTTAGTTTTCAAGTCATTGTATTTATATTGTACATTTTAAGCGCCTGCCTTTATTTGCATTCAATGTAAAAGTGTGTAAAAGAGAGAGAGAGAGAGAGAGAGAGAAAAAGTCCGTTCCCTTGAATTTGATTCATCTGACTGGCATAAATATCTATAAATAACTCTATTAAATGTTTTACAAATGCCGTAGGAAAATCAATCACGGAAGTAATATCAACGTGTACGTGTGAAAGTTTTACCGGCAATATACTGATACCTGTGAACAAAAAAAATGGAAAGAGATTGTAGAAAGTGTATGTGTGTTTGTCAATTGTGTCACGAGCATTGATTAATTTACACTTATTTGAATTTCAATGGCAACTATGGCTCATGAAAAATTAGAAGAAAATCAATCGGTTTGAATCATTAGTCGATGTCAAGCACTATATATCCATATAAGCCATGACGTGAATAATCACCATTTATATTTTTAAAAGATTCAATTTTTACTCCAAAAACTATTATGAATTTGGAAATTGATGAAAGAAAAACACAGACACACAGATTTTGTGTGAACACGTGCTCACGTTAAATAAATTTATTGCAAATTCAAGGTGAGAATGCCATCTGGATTTTTTTTATATTTTGGTTAATTTTTTTATCAGCAATTGTGTGCAAATGTCGTGTATCAAATTACCGGGAGACAAACAAACATTTATGGAATCTCATAATTGGAGCAAATATAAGATTACTCTGATATTTAATCAGACGAATCAACAAATGCTCGCTTCGAGTACCATATAGTAGCGTAGTTTAATATTGATACATGTAATAATTAATAGCCATCAGTGCAAACATGCCATTTAACGTCATACTAAATTATATGGTTTGGAGAAGAGAAAAAAAATATAATCGAATTGATGCAATCAACACACTGAATCAAAATCAGACAGATTCATGTCGGCTGCATCAGGCTGCTTTTTTTATTCTTCGTTTCAATATATATATATGAACAAGGTTGTTAAAGGTTAACTGGCTCACGTATTTTGATGCACCATACGCACTTCGTGCACATTTATACATTTTTTCCTCTAACGATCTGACTACAAATGCATTTTGTCATTTTCTCGCTTTCGTTCATTCTACTTTTTGCACGCTCTTTCTTCCCTCTTGCAAGCATACACACATATAGCCGTAATTGCAATTTAGAAAGCGAAACTGTGAATGTCGTGTGTGTACGCGAGGTGAGCTGTTGATATCAAGGCCGCATCGAAACTCGCTGACTCATATCACGCATCAAATTTGTTTCCTAAAATAAACTCAAACACAAAAAAAATCGCGTAATTCATGAGTGCTCGCTCTCTTTCTCTTTTATCAAAATTAAAAATGCATTTCATTACTAATTTTACCGATTCGACTAATTGATAATAATAAATAAATGTACATTTTCAATTTCCGCTGAATTGTTTTTCAATACGCTCCCGGAAAATGATTGTATTCATTTGAATTTTATGAAAATGACTTTTACAGAAAATTTAAATGATGCATGTGTTTTCATCTCCATCATTGCGAAAATTCGTTTGCAGTCAAAATGAATCATTTATGTGATTCAGTTCAGTATTGATTTGAATACGTTGAGCAAATGCACTCTGATTGCATTTAAAATGATAGAAAGAGTTCCCAGCCCAACGGAAAAGAGAGAAACCGAAAATCTATTCAGCTTTTAAATGTAATTAAATAGAGAAAAAACGACATTTTAAGTGAAAACATAAACTGTAAATCAAATACATAGCATATGGCGAAACAAACGAAGTTCATGTGCATAAAATATTGTAAATTATGCATGAAAAGTAAAATAAGCCAATGTCTGCACATGTTTTACAAATATAACAAATCAATCTGAAATGGAAAGCATACGTTTATTTATAGCACTGAGATAATACCAAATTCTATTTTACGCCATGAAATCTCAGATATTCCGCATCGAGTAATGGTGTATAATTTTCCGAAATCCATTTCACTTGAGTTAATTGACGCCTTAACAACAATCCAAAACCATCTTCCCCGCAACATTTAAGCTCACGAGATGAATTTTATCCATCGCATTTCGAAAATACTTGAAGTGTTATGATTGAAAACGGTACATAGTCGAGCTTACTATCATTATGTTATATTTCAGTTGCGTTCGTTAAATGAAAAAGATGTTTCGAATTATACAAATGTTACGTTATTTACATGCTTGTAATCAGAAAACAGTAACAAATGAACACACGAAGAGTTCACAGAGGAGTTCAGCAACTATTTTCCAATACTTCTTATTATGTATACATGTATCAATTGCATCTTATGCGTTGAATAAATCGTTGTAATTTTTTCCAAACAAAAGAAAAACTTGCAAAACTAAATGCGCTATTTATACTTCTCACCTCTGACTTGTAACGTTCGTCGGCTCTTTTTTTTAACTCCCTTTCGCTTCGATATAATTAGCATAATTAAATAGTAATTATTTCATTATTTTTTATTTATTTTAAGTATACCGGCCACTTTTGTTGGATTTATTTTTATACTCGACGCTTTTTTAAACACTCTGACTCTGGCAATGCAAATGAAATTCGTTCATTTTATGATTATAGCTACGTTTTTTTTTTGTTTAAAAAACGAAACGCCCAGATTACCCGAATTTATCTCTGGTGTGAAAGAAATTGGCCCAGTTGTGATGATGTCATATATATTAATTTTACAGAAATGTATAAAATCGTAGCCAAAAATAAGAATAAAGATACTATGTTTGAAGCAATATCACCGTCAAATGCAATCTCAAGTTAGCAATTTTTTTCTGGATTTGATATTTTCCGTTTGCTTTTCAATTTTTGGTTGAAACTGATTACTACAAAAATGTCTACACCAGACACCGAAGGAATTTTTATACTTCATCAAATGTTGTGGCTGCAAAATAATTTTTTGTCCGTTTTTAAATGATTTTTTTTATATTTGTAGTAAATCCTTCGATCAACGTGTACTCATCTTTTTTCCCTTTGCATTGGCCGCAAGTTTTACTCGATAGAATTGACTACATCGTAAAATATATTGACATGAAAGCGAGCCATTCATCCATATAGCAACGAATTACGTAATTTTACACCGAAAATTCGGATGTTTTTTTGTGTTGTATGTTTGTTTCGACGGGTTTGTTAAAATTTGAAATTCATGGAATTGAGTTCTGAAGAAATAAAATGTATGTGGTTTTTAGCCTCGATTTTTTTTTTGTTCAATCACGTGGAACTGTAAATCGAACGAAAGTAAATGAATGTATATATAGCAATTTAAATGTGGTGTTCAGTTAATTCTTTCACCCTTATGCAAATGTGGCGTTGATATTTTTTGTGTGTGCAATTTTTCTTCGTTTCTTTTCATTTTCGTTTATATTGTTTTCGTTTGTTTCTTTTGGGTCAATGTATTGCTTACAATAACCTGTATTTTTAATTCATTCCATTCCTTGATCGGCGCGTACATTTCGTATGGATGAATTTCGTTAACAATTAAAAATCGACTCAGCAATTTAGGCAATTTTATTGATAGAATTCGATTTGGAATATAAATGGGAAATTTGACATTTATTGACGGCACAAATATGCAGTTAAACTGGATTTAAAGCGATCAAAAACTAGAGTGAAAAAAAACATTTGATCAGCTTAGTCATAACAATCGAATGGTGTTGATTTATCGAACAAGCCAACGTCAATCATTAAAAAAAGAAATTAACCTCCGCACACAAATACATTCACGAAACAAAAAATATCTCCATGCTGCCCCACGGCAATACACACATATTTCAATTAATAAACAACTAAAACACATAATTGCATGTTTTTTCTCTCTTCTTCATGCCAAACAACACTGAGAAGAAGAAAAAAAAACGCGAAGAAAGTGTCTGACACAAAATAACAATCTCGTTAAATATTTAAAAGCATTGGTTCAGTTTAAACTTGACTAACCGTACAACACGTAGAACAACTATATTGAAAAATATGCACCTGTATATGAACACCTGAAGTGAGTAAAAAAAGGAGGAAAATACCAACAGAAAATAAGAAATTTTATACCGAAATGGAGAAAAAACCGTTGATGGATTACTCGATTTAAAATTAATAGAAGGTCAGCACTGTTAAATTGCTTTTCGTGCTCACTGTGTGACAACCAATCAGTAAATTGTTTTGCAAGCGTGCGTTTTTTTTTCTCTCTAAAACAAATCGTTCTTTGCGGTTTTGCCATAAAACTTGGTGTCGATCAAAAAGTGTTTTGATTACTTTGTCATTAACGGTTTAAAAGCAACTCAAACACGTACACAATGTGCAACTCAACTTTTGTTGCCCCCTTTTTCATATCAACATTTATTATGTCATTGCTTGTTTTGAAGCTAGAGCGAAAGGTTCATCATACCGACGTGTTATCAGCGATGTCTGTATGTTTACGTTGACACAAAGTATTTGCATTGGATTAGAGTGAAAATGTTATTAAATAGGTGAAGCACAACGCATAACGAACACACACACACACACACAAAATGCCATTACTTTAATTGTTGCTAGTGATAACGATAAAATAACATCAATTCACTTATATATATAACGCGAACGCGACATCAAACCGATCATCGGACTAATGAATAATGCGTTGGCCCAATACGAAACAAACCCATATTAAGGGAATTGATGGAAAATTAAAACAAAAATGCAACCGATTATATTCCGATTTATGATTATATTTAGATGTACTTGTTGCACATATAATTTCATGTTTCTCTCTAAGAAATAGAACTGAAAAATTATATATAAATGTTGGTTGGGAAAAAGATTTGATTAAAATTTCATTCTTCGATCCTAGATAAAATGAATAATCGACAGTTTGGTTTTAGACCCATTCGATTGCCTATGAATGGCCATCAAAGAGTACCTCGTAAGTTCCTGACAAATTTATCTCTTCGTTTTCGTCTTCGTATTCGTCTTCGTATTCGTCTTCGTATTCGTCTTCGTATTCGTCTTCGTATTCGTCTTCGTATTCGTATTCGTATATATATATTGGTTTTGGGTAAAAAAGTTTTAAATCAAATCATTGATTTGTGATTTGTTTTGTTGATTTTCAAATCATTTGATCTCAAATCTAAGAGCCCTGGATTGCATAATATGCCCACGCATATTGCAATATTACCAGTAGGTGGTGCCAGCATATGCTATATTGGGTAACCCTTTTCGTATCTACGCAGAGAGATATATTCAAATCCAAACCATCGCCATTTTTGATGTTTAAAAAGTGTCATTTTGCCTAATGATCCTATGAAAAATTAGACTCAATAAGCAAAACAAACTTCCAGTTGTCATTTACATAACCTTATTTTCTCAGTGTTTAATATACGAGATCCATATAGGAAGCAATGCATATTCAACTCTTTGTTAAAATACAAGGTAAATGCGTTCAGATTCTATTTTCATGTTAATAAATAAGTTAAAATAGGATATATCATAAGAAAGAACGTTTTTATCATTGAGGACTTTTTTGATTTTGGAAAATTTAAAGTGATTCAGGAAGATTTGAATATTTTATCGTTGTGCCTACGAGGGCTGTCTTTTATTTATTGAGCCTTGACGATATTAGTCCCTTGTGGGAAATTACTGACTGACTAAACAGTTAACTAATTTGGGACGTTTTTGGCTGAAGCCAACTGAGATTGAAGTTGTTTTAAGTTGATGACTTCTTTTTGTTCCCGAGCGTGAAGAAAAAACTACATGGTCAACGATTTTTGACACCAGAAGAAGCAGTTGATACGTTCAAAACACACGTTTTTGAGATATCTCTTTCGGAGTGGCATGAATGCTATGACAAATGGTTTCGTCGAATGCGAAAGTGTATCGATCATCACGGAGAATATTTTGAAAAACAATAAAACCATTTTCAATAATAAATTATTGTTTTTTCTTCATTAGGCTCAATAATTAAAAGACAGCCTACGTATCCCCTAGATTGATTGGTGTACTGTAGTTTGTATATATAGTAGTTAGTTTATTAACGCGTCGAAAAAAGTATATAGAATGGATCGTTTATATATTAGTTAGTTTAACACACATTTTGGAAGCAAATAAATCAAAAACTTATTTTTAAAATTAAAGTAGTTCGACCAGGCGCCATTCAAGCCCAACCTGGTGGTATACAGCAACCACCGATACCGCCACCACCGATATTCCAACCACACATATTTCAACCACCGATACCGCAAGCACCGATACCAGCACAACCATCACCATCATCATCATCATTATCATCATTATCTGTACCAACTCCACCAACTCCACCAACTCCACAACCTCCACCACCACCTATTCCAACACCTCCATCACCTCCAGCACCACCAATACCCATTATTATTCCACCATCAACATTTCCTTTCGCGGCATTAATAGAGAACCAGCAATTAAAATTAGAAAATAAAAGATTGCGAAGACAAGTGGTAATCAAATCCTTCCTACTAAATTTCTGTTTTAAATAATGCGTGCCAAGTTTTACTACATAGAAAAATTGCGTCTATTATAGAAAGTTGTCATTTTATTGCACGCCTAATTTCGAAATCTAATTTCTAAATCTCTCATTCAAATGTTTTTTTTTTTTCACTTAGAACGAAAACAAAAGAAAAAATTCAAGCGATCGCGAACATCCACCCAAAAAAAGACGAGACTTCGACGAAGCTGGTTCATCCAGCCAATAAATTGACAAGATTAAATAAAAAATCGCTCAAAAATTTAGTAGGGAATACACCATAACACAAATAAGTAGGGAATTTCAATTAATGCGATTGTATTGGCCGTACACATATGAAATAAAATCACTGTGACCATTTGACCCGTAACACAAACAAGTAAGCTACAAAACGTTCACTACATTGAACGATTCAATTACAAAATAGTTGTTGAATTTAGCTCATCACTGATTATGCGTTGAATAACATCGTCAATAAGATTTGATGTGTGAGAGCTAAACGAACTGTATGAATTCAAGTGAAAAAACCCTCAGCATTTCATTTTAATTAATCAATTACTGTCGGAGTTGCGAATGATGTCCGTTTTAACCTGAAATATTCACTTGCATTGATAGTTTGTTGTTCGAATCAATAATGAAAAAGTTGTTTATACAAGTCGCGATTAAATTGAAAAAAATTTCAAATGTTTGTTTCCTCATTTAAACATTTACCGTTTTATTTTTGCTGTATTGAAAACGACACTTTTTTCCTCATGAAAAAACTGATTTTTTAAATTTTTTTTTTTTTTTTTTTAAACAGAAAGTCATAATGGAGGGAGATGGTTCACCGTTATCTTCATTGTGCATGGTTCGTGCAGCGGAATTATTTCCTAAACCAGAACCAGAAAAAGAAGACGAATCATTAAAAGTCCCTTTCACCGAATGTAAGTTGAACTAAAAAAAATATTTCCTTTGCTGTGCGCAAAGAATGTTCTTGAAGTACAGTACGTTTTTTATATAGAGTCATCGATTCTTTAGACAAAAACACATACATTTTATTTAGTATCTAAGCTACGGCGCACACAATCAATATTTAATCCAGTCACCGTCTTTCTCGACCACACGGGCACATCTTTTGGGCATATTTTGCTCAAATTTTCAGCATATTCGCGTTGAAAACCTTTCCACTGGCGCTGAATGAATGAACTGAGCTGCTTCAAATTGCGGTGTGTTTTACCACGAAGCCTTGCCTTAATATAAGCCCAAACATTTTCGATCTGATTGCAATCGGGTGACTGTGGTGGCCAGTTCATTTGTTTAATGTCATTTTCCTCCTTCCAGCGGTGCTGAGACCACTTTTGTGTTTTGGATCGTTGTCTTCTAATCGAAGCCAATTTGAATTGCCGTTGCCATGGAACTTCTTGGCGTTGGGTAACAGTGTCGATGAATAAAGTTGGTTCATCCTCACGGCGTTTGGAATGCCCGTGAATACGGTCAACTTTTCAAAACCAGCTTCACAGAAGCAACCATAAGCATGGACCTTTTTCGGATGCTTTACCGTGCGAATGACCACTCTCTTTTCGGCTCTAGACTAGGCATGGGTAGTTGCTATTCAGCAGCCAAAAGAATGACTCGTCAGTGTATATAACTTCGCTCCAATCTCTTGTTGAATTTTGCATTGCCCAGTCAATGCGTTTTTCTTCTGGTTTTCAGTCAAAAGTAATTTCTTCAATTTACTGCGATAACGAACACCGGCCACATCTAATCTTTTCTTGACAGTGGAGCGCGAGACGTCTAATTTAAGACGTCGTAGCCGTTCAACACCTTGGCTCAGCGACATACCTGGATTTTGATCGAACAACTTGACTACCCGTGGCGAGGAAGCTCGTTTGGCTTAACATTGGGTCGATCATTCACGTTTTTTTCGTGCTTATACTGCTGGATTCACTTTGTTACGAACCCTCTTGACTTTTTAGTGTGTTTTGTCACTTTCACTATTGACCATTTTGGTCCAAACTGGTGCAAAAGTAAAAAACTGCTTCAAAACGTTTTGAAAAATGTTTGGAATTCATGTTTTGATTGCACAACAAACACTGTACTGATTTGCGAACTGCCAAATTTGTTGTGCGTCGTAGCTTAGAGTGCCATCTAGCGACACCAAAAATATTTTTAAGATATTTGAAATTTTTGTCAAAAAAATCGATGAATCTATATAAAAAACCTACTGTAATGAAAAAAATCCATAAAATGAATGTGTGCATAAAATATCCCATAAAATATTTTACATTGCAATGCAAACCGTATAAAAATCAATTCTAAATTCCGATATTCTTGGTGTATTTTCAGTGTCCGGCGAGTTTGTGCGTTATATTGGACGAACTGATGACGGCATATTAGCTTTATCAAATTATAGAATTTGCTTGAAATCACAGACATCAGCACCTGAAACCGAAATCTCAATACCGCTTGGGGTTATTGAATATGTTTCTGTACGTGATTTATTTCAATTGGTGGTCAGCTGTAAAGATGCATCTACGTTTAGGTGAGTAAACAAAGAAAAAATGAAACGGATTTAACGAGTACAAGGTGATATATTCGATTTTTCTTCCACAGATGTACATTTCCCTCATCAGAACAGGCGTCCGAATGGCAACGAAGAATAACATTGTTCGTTGGTGTTCCAACAAGTTTGGAAACATTATTTGCATTTTCGTATTACGCTTGGGCATCAGAACAACTACCAAATCCAGACAATGAATGGCTGGGCCGCATGCAACGAGCCAACAATTATGATGAAGATTTTCGACGAGAAGTTCGGCGCTTGGAATTCAATACATGTGCATGGCGAATATCAACGGCAAATGTTGATTTTAAATTATGTACATCGTATCCACGTCTTTTATTAGTTCCAATGTGCATCACCGATGAAATATTAACAAATGTGGCCACATTTCGAAGTGCACGACGTATTCCGGCCGTTGTTTGGCGACACAAGGCATCCGGTGCTGTGGTCGGACGATGTAGTCAACCGGAAGTCGGGTGGTTGGGATGGCGTAACCCCAAGGACGAACAATTGCTGAAAGCAATCGCCGATGCGTGTGCATTTGATGGTGGTGAAATAAGCAGACGACATACAGCAAATGTGAATAATACAAGTGAAACCAGCAGTACCGATGAAAGTCATGAGGAGGTTGTATTGGACGAAGTGAAGAAAATTTTAATCGTTGATGCACGATCTTATGCATCTGCTGTGACAAATAGGGCACGCGGTGGTGGCTGTGAATGTGCTGAATACTATCCATGTGCGGCGATTGAATTTATGAACTTGGGCAATATTCATGTGATAAGAAAAAGTTTTCATGCTTTGAGAGCACTCGCTGCATCACCAACCGATTCACAGAGTTGGTTTACCGCCCTGGATCGAACGATGTGGCTATCACATTTAGCTGGTTTGATGCAATCGTCAGTGCGAATATGTCATGCAGTCGAACGTGAGGGTCGTTCGGTTATCGTTCATTGCTCCGATGGATGGGATCGAACACCACAATTGGTATCAACTGCACTGCTATGCCTTGACCCCTACTATAGGTAAGATATTGTTATTGTTTTTTAAAGAACTCGAAAAATTACCGAAACAAATGTCTCATTTTCCGAATAGAACCGTTGACGGATTCCGAGTTCTAGTCGAACGAGAATGGTTAAGCTTTGGACATAAATTTGCCGATCGAATTGGTCATGGGCCTGGATCCGATGAAACAAACGAACGATGTCCGGTATTTTTGCAATGGTTGGACTGTGTACATCAAATACAAAAACAATTTCCATGTAGTTTTGAATTCAGCATGGCCTATTTGGTATGTATAAAGAAGGAAATCCCAATGCGATGATTGGAAATTAAATGTCTCTCTTTGTGTATTTTTATTTTGCAGATAAAATTAGCGCAGCATGTATTCTCGTGTATGTTTGGCACATTTTTGTGTAACACATACAAAGAACGGGTCGAAGCATCAGTATTTGATCGCACGTATTCAGTGTGGCCTTTTCTGTCTGGACCGATGTACAAAAATCCACTGTATATACCAAATCGTGAGCAAGTATTGTGGCCCGCATATCATATAAGCAATTTGTCATATTGGGCCGAAGTGTATTCAAGTAGTTTTGGTAACCAAAATCAAAGTGATAGCTCGATGACAACAAGCATCTCACCATCGGCACCAGTCGCAGTGGCAACGGCAAGCGTTGGCACATCAATTGTAACACCGAGCACAAATGATGTATCCAATTCGGAGCCACGTAGCCCAATGATAAAAACACGTTCATATGGTGATTTACAAAATTTACAAACAACCGGATGCAATGGCATTTCAAATGGAATGATTCGTCGTTCAAGTGATCCAAATATGACTGCAGATACGCAGTAAGTATTAATGAGCAAAAACCAAAAAAGAATTTAAAAAAAAGAAACTTGTCTTGTTTCTTTTCTCTTTGTGTTTCCACAGTTTCAATATGAATTTATCGAATGAGCCGTCAATCGAAACGTTGCCCGAATTTTATGCCAACGGAGCGAATGTAGTCGATATGAATGTGATAAATGATCAAACGATTGCAAATTTTTGCAGTGATACAGTCCGTGAATTAAATAATTTAACCGAAGAATTACAACAGACAGATTTGGGCGAGATTTACATCCGTAGCAATCATCATGAGAATAGTAATCAAATCAATAGTTTTAGTAATAGAATTATGGACAGAGCATTAAGTTGCAGCAGTAGAAGTGTTCATGATGATGGAATTGCAAGTGTTCAAACTTCAAGCGAAGGTTTTATAAATAGTCAATCAAATGCTCATTGTTCCATCATCGATCATAATTATGCGATTCCGAATCATCACAATGGTACTGTAATTTCAAATAAATTCCGTACTGAAACCGAGATTGGTAATATAAATTGTGATGTCGTTGATTCTAGTCCATTTTATACTCAATTCAATAAACATCATTTAGAGAATAATTTGGACGACAATGAGATGAGTAGGGTGTCACGAACAGAGAAACCGACGCACGCCAACGGTAGAGACAACGGCAGAGAAAGTAGTGAGGGTACAAGAGAAGATGACTACCGTGTTGCCTTGTGCATGTTACAAAGTGTCGATTTAAGAGGTTAGCGCACCATTGATACCATCTTTTGAAATGGACTTTTTTTAATTGTTTTTTTTTAAATTATTATCCAACAGACACATCACCACTTTCATTCTCACCAATGAATGCACAAACACAATGGCATGGCAATATCGAAACCAGCACTGACACCTTAGTTCCTGTTGATACATTAAGTTCTGATTTGGCCGAAGATCAATTGCGTTCGGAGCTATCAACCGCCATTATTTCACAGTCAAGAGATTTAGCGACATGTGAAAATGGCATCGAACTGGCACGAAATAGCATTTTACCGGAGGTTTATGTAAAGTCAAAATCCCTTCCAAACGGTGCGAGTGCATTAAATACGATGGATGAAAGCATTTTAATTCATCCCGAACAAAATCGAATGGACATTTCAAATGGCGTTAGTCGCAATGAGTCAAATCAATCAACTACTGTGCCAAATGGAAATATGTCGTTGTATCGACGTAGGCGTAATTCATTCAATTCAAAGCCATCACCATGGATTACTGATATGGCCACAACCACATCAAATGTTCGCTCCGACAGTGTCTCACCAAACACAATGAACAATTCAAAATTTGTACTATCAAATACATCACGTTCATTGATCACGCCCACATCAATTCGAACGATCAATACACCATCACAATCGAACAATATTTCGTTGATTTCATGTCCCGATGGATTGGCGCACGCGCTCAACGAACAAAATCTGAGACTACAACAAATTGTACTGGATCATAAGGTAAGCCACCTGGGCTTTACTTACTTTGACCAAAATCAATGTTTTTTTTTGGTATTGAATTCGAAATCTGAAACTAAATTGCATTTAAATTCATTAGAATCGAGAGGAAGCGTTACAAAGGGAGCTACAAGTATTACGATTAGAACTCATACGAAAACGAAGCTGTCCAAATTGTAGCAATGGCCAGACGAACAATGGCACAACAACAAGTGTTGTTGATGAAACCGTAAGTTTATAGGAAAATATTCTGAGTTTGTTTTACACTTTTCCTCCAAAATATCTCAAAGCACTCCATTTATTATATTCTCCTCATTTTGAAGGGATTTTTTTATGTAATTTTACAAGAAAAAGAACATAACGAGGCGGTTAAGAGAACATTCAATGTACACTATTTATTCCATATACTATAGTTTAGTTGATCTTGCACCAATTTATTGTTATTACTACCAAAACTATAGTTAGGTTCAATTTATGAAACAAAATATGTGTGTTCTCTCTCTCTCTCTCTCTCTCTCTCTCTCTATACATATATAAATCCTCATGTCTCAATGTTATTCGTGTCGATAAGGATGAATTGGTATTTTCTTTAAATCTTTCGTTTCATACGAACTTTGAAATGCTATCGCATTACTAAGAACGTTTGATATTCAAAAAATTATGCAACGAATACGTAGGAAAAGTATAATTTTATTCTTGGGATTATGTTTTCCGTCTCTTTTTTGCAATTTTTTCATTTGTAGAAGATCTTTAATTTTATTTTTTCCTTTCTTTTTTTCCGTTCGTTACACCCCAAAACAAAACTGCAACGTTGCAATTTACGTGAATATTCCCATTTTGATTTTGAAAAAAATACAAATGTTGTGGGGAATGAAAAAAAAGGATGACGATGATGAATCGTTAGTGGCAAATTCTGATAATAGCGGTTCAGTGAGATCGCGACAAAGCTCTGAGGGTCCATCAACTGATGTGTTACCAAAAACATACAGTTGGGCTAGCTCAAAGTCGGCGGTTAGTTGCACCATTTTACAAGCGATTTAACTTATTTTTTTCTTCTTTGGATTATAACTTGTAGAATTTAATTGTTTTCACACGAAATGTTGCTCTCTAACTACATTTGAGTATTGGTATTATATCATATCATAAAACGTTCAGAAAGATCATGTAGAAATTCAAAACGAAGTTGAATAAAAAAAACTACTGATTTAAATTATGTTAAACGCCGGCCAAATATAACAAATGCATGTACTTCTGAAAAGCAGACGCTAATAAAATATGCATACTTTTGTATTTAAATAAAAATGTTATTTTTTTTTCATTTGGTATTATTTGAAATTGTTTGCATGAGTTAGAAATGAGTTGGCTTTTTTTGTGCATGATATTCCAACCTGTTTAGATACGCATACGTAAATAATTCCATTCTTCACACTGCACCAAACTGACCAAAACATAAGATACTTGAAAAAAATTGTTTCTTCTTATTTCATCAAATAGAATTCAATGTTTGATAACGGAGCGGAAAGTGCATCGATTTGTTCGTGGGAAGCGGTTGATGAACGAAGCGGGCCAACATCTGGTCTAAATTCAGCAAATGCATTATCATCAAGTGTTTTATGGGTGCCCGATCATGCGGTTAGCAAATGCACGCACTGTCACACGGAATTCTGGCTCGGAAGACGAAAACACCATTGTCGGTTAGTGTCAATATAGCAATTTCGTCTCTTTTCATAAAAATCAATGGCACTATAAGAAATCATTTATTCAATATTAAATTATAAAAAGTTAATTGAGAAAAAAAATTCATTTCGCAGATCATGTGGACAGATATTTTGTGCTGATTGTAGCGAGCATTGGGCAGCTTTACCGTATGAATGCTTTAGCGGTCCAGTTCGTTTGTGCGGTGCTTGCTATCAAACAATTTCAAAGGGTCAAGTAAGTTGTATCCACACTAATGAAAAATGTGCCAGAAAAGAAATCCAATAATAATATAATTTTTTTCTTTTTCAACAGAATCATGAACAAAGCCAAAATAGTACAACATATGCCCAAAGTAGTTCGATGTTATCAACAGAAAGTCGCAATACAACCCAACACTATCATACAAATGGAACGACATCGTCAGCAACCACATCATTGGAACCTTGCAAACACTCAATGAGTAGTACGAAAAATGACCAAAGTCCCACAAAAGCGACCACAGTCACAAATTGATTAACTAGACGACGCAGCTAAACCAAACTACCGTTAAATGAACAACAAATGTTCAAATTCAACCGACCGACCAAATCAATTGTCGATGTAATTTACGATCTTGGTACAAAGGGATAAAAGAAAATGAATGCAATGTATCCACAATGGATATTAGTGACATTATATTGTTTTAGAATCGCCAAAAATATGTTTATTCACTTGACCGTCTGCGATATTCAAATGAATCAATTGTAATAATTAATTTATACGTATTTTAATTTCATTTTCTCAACATAGACAAATTGTTGATATACTATATTCATCGTCAGATTGTTCAGTCGCATAAAATAAAAGAAAAACAAACATACAGAATTATAAGTGATTTTACTAAATCAGTAGGTGAGTTTGGCAGGGACTAAAATTATTGTAAATAGCTTTTGTTTGCAATTTTTTTGTGTTTTGAACTTGGATGGGGAATTTATTCAATTGATAAGGGATATTTTTGTTTTGAAGTGGCGAAATGGACAAATAAATACAATAAACAACAACAATTAGACAGATTCACACTTTTGTTGATGGTGAATATATATTAAATTGATGAACAAAGAGAAACATTGTGACATTTTGTAGGTTAGTTTGTCGAAAATAAATCGTTCTCCTTTTATGCATGATAAATTATAAAATTAAGTACATTTCATGAAATTGATAATATAAAAATGTCTACTCTATTTAATGTATAAATAAAACGTAAAACTTCAATTTAATGATTTAAAGTAAAAATGTTTGTGTTGTTTCTCATATATTTTCAACAGCCGTTTCATCAGACACAATCTTCTCTACGGGTTAAAATTGATTGTGTCCGTGTGTGGAGTGGTTTTTGGGTGGTTTCGATTCTGTGCTCATGTTATGGAGAGAAAAAAATGTTTTAAATCAAATCATTGATTTGTGATTCGTTTTGTTGATTTTCAGATCATTTGATCTCATATCTGAGAACCCTGGATCAATGTAGGAATATGATGGAGTTTTATTTTCAACCAAAAGTATGTTTTAGCGTAGATGGCGCTGATTTAAATGGACATTTGTATGTTTAGACGGTGGCGCCGCCCTTCTCAATTAAACACTGAACTGCAGCGTTTCCAATCGTTGCCCTGGATTGCAGAATTTGCCTACGGTGGCAGCATATGCTATACAGGGCTGCAGGGCTGTAATTTTCACTCTGTCAGTGCACGTGCGTCGCACACAGTGCTTGTATTTTGAATTTGCACGCACACTTATTTACAAATTTGCCAACCGCCAAAAATGTCAAACTTGTGACTAAGTGTGCGTGCACATTCAAAATACAAGCATTGTGTGCGACGCACATAGAATGTGAGTGTGCACACTACTGTGTGCGTGCACGGACAGAGTGAAAATTACAGCCCTGATGCTATTGGGTAAGCCATATCAGGACGGCCAAAACTATATGCCAATGGAAACTACATTGATATGCGTAACTTTCATTAGAAGAAACCTAAATGCCCAGTTGAGTCACAAGGGGTGAATATCCCATTGTGAAGTTACAATGAAATGGGGTATTTTCACTTTTCTACCCGAATTGAAGGTTCAAGTAGATGGAGTAAATTGTAGGTCATTGACAATGTATGGAGCCTATAGGTAATTTTTCACGAGGAATCCGAATATGTAATTAATTTCAGGGTAAGATGGCGTATGGACCCAATTTCGGGGTATTCTTCGAAATTTTCGTGAATTTTGTAGGGGGACCCCTTGAGAGTGATGGACGGGGTGCTCAATAGCCAAAATGAAATGTGCAGATAAAATAAGTCATACATGGGCACAGGGGGGGTGTAAGCCCGGATAACCCCCCTTAAATCGTCCCCTTAAATTGAAAGCGATGGCTATTGACAACCATTTTTATTGCGCAGCAAGATTTTAGTGCGAGTTGTATGTGAATAGAATGTAGGTTGTAAACACAATGCCATTTATAGAACGAATACATGCAATGGTGAGCGAGACAACATGAGACAACAACTTGCCAAGCACGATTTCGGTGACAGGGATAGCAAATTTTCACGTTTTGATTGCACCAGAGCATTTAGTGGCATGAGAATTGTGAAAAAAACCCGGATTTTTTTTTCACTTCTTATGTGCTCTATGGCAAATACAAAATATGTACGGACGTATGACAGTGTCATTTCAGCGGTCTTCCGTGTTTTTCATACAAGCCTCCCATATAGATGATGAAAAATCGAGAAAAATGATAAAAAATAATTAATTTTTTTCTTCGACTTACAAATACTATACTACTCAATTTTCTGTATCATCTGATGAAATCAGAATAAAAAAAACTCGCATTCCTTATCATCTAAATCACGATTGGCATTCGGTCACTATTTAATGGGCGTCCCGTGTACAAAAAAAAGTGACTGACTATTTTGGGACAAACTGACTGACTATTGACTGTAA